TTGGGCATTTTTCGATCAGAATGCCTCGAGCCAGTTTCCGCATGACGGACTTTGCGACTGGACGGTTTGCCAGAAGCGACCAGCTTTGTGGAGGAGAGAAGGAAAAATGTTTCACGCCTTGACGACCAAAATGGGTGCAGTTTGTCTCAGGCTTGCTTGAAAGCGACGCAGGCGGTGGCCAGGCCGGGCTCGAGCTGAAGACCTTGCGGTCGGTTTTCACGCGATGCCAAGCGGACGTGTTGAACCGATCCGGACCGAGATCCAACGGCCATGCGTGTCGGCCGAAGAGGACAAAAAAGAGGACATGCAACTTGAACAGCCATTCATCTTTCCGTCCGTCCATCCTTTCATCCATCCTTCTGTCTATCCATTGGCTCACTCTGTGCATCTTTGTCTAATCCATCTACGTGGCAGTCTGTCTGTTTGTGCAGTTTTCGCGTCATTTTACGTCTTCCCAAGACCAATATTTTGTCTGCAACCACTTCGACAGCCTTGACGAGAGTAGCTCTTTTCCGATTTACCAACCGTGTCCTCGTTTATGTGTTGGCATAAACGACAAACCCACAATTCAGTTGCCCTTTATGGAAAATACGGCAATGCGATCCACTGGCCCCAGCGACTGTGTAGTCGCCATGCCACTCACGACCCAGTTGCAATCTGATTGGTCAAGCTGACGATACTAATAAAGGCGAGGTGGGCAATTGACGTCTACTTAAGCCGGGATTAGATAACCGTTTGTAGAGAAAGCTCATGTGAAGCCTTTAAATCGCTTGACACAATTAACTCATTCTGCAAATATTAACATTATTTATTGGGCGGACTTTCAGTTCGTATGAAAGTGAATGAAGAAGATATTCGTTGCTCGATCTCACCAGATGAGCACGGATGAATCTCGTGGTACCGCATCGGAATGTTGACTTGGTACCGATCGCGTACTCAACAGGAAAGCGAAGTTGTATCTAATGCTTTTTGGTGAAGCCGTTGTAAATGATGGCGCCCAACACACAACTTCACATGAAGCTGACTCATAGACCTTTTTGCACAATCCGACAATCAAGCGTAATCGAGAAGCTACTCCAACTTGAGCTTCAATCTTGCTCAATTGTTTCGAGTTGTTGTGTCGATTGACAAAGTTTTTCAATAATCAACGCAAAAGTTGTGTCATTGATGGGAAAAACGTGGCCTAAATAATGTTATAGTTATGAAGGGAAACTGGGTTTTGATGAATCTCTTGAGAT